GTGGGCACAGACATTCTGCCCTAAGAGCAGGGATCCAGGTTTTCTCACAGTGGACACCAGGGTCTCTGTGTTGTGCGTGTCTCCGGCCACGTCCCATGCCCACAGGGGTCACACGGAGCTCTCTGCCCTGTCTGCTCGCTTCAGCCTGCTGTGGCTCCCTAGCCCCCCACGGCGTCTCCCAGGAAGGCTTTGGTTTCTGTTCCACTCGGCTTTAATAGGATTTGAAGGATGTCTGGTGGATGTTTTTAGATTTTGACACGTCCTGTGCGCCGGGCGGGAGAAAGAGCCAGAGTGTTGGTGCTGCTGTGTCCCCACCTGACCAGCTTGGCTCCCTGTCATCACTGTCTGTGTCCCTGTCCGCCCCTGTCACTCCATGCCTGGGCCCTCGCTCTGTGGGGACAGGCAGGGTGTGAATGCTGCACGTGGGGACTGTCACTCCTGTGGATAGCACAGACCCACCAGGGGCCAGGTTCCCCCAGATGAGCCTGGGGACACACCTGTCATTTGGGCAGAGGCCCTGGGGGTCACCAGGACTCCTTAGAGCTGAGGGGGTTGCCCCTCCCAGTGGCCTTTGCCTCCTGTGGACCCCAGGCCGGGCCCGAGGTGCGAGCCCCCAGGTGAGGGGGGAGGGAGGCGCCGGCTCTGCCTCCAGCCTGTCACCTGGGCGTGGAACCTTCTGGGGGTGGCCGGGCCACGCGGCCTCTGCCCACTGGCTGTGGGCTCCGCCCGAGGAACCCAGACCTCGTGGCTTCTGACTCATCTCCCACGAAGGGGGGAGAAGCAGGTTTTGTAAGCGCCGTGACCTGATTCCGGCGGGTTCCAGCCCTAGCCGGTTATTTGCTTGTTTTAAAAACATTCCGTTACAATTTCCACATTAGTGTCCTCAGGCCCGTCCACGGCTCCTGGAGTCGCCCTCACTGCGGGACGTTGTGAGAGCACAAAGCTGCCCTGTGTCCCCGAGACGCCGTTCCACACACAGTCATTTCCAAGGGGCTCGGGGGCACGAAGGTAGAGGGGCCAAGACTCAGCTGGCAGCTCGGCTCTGGCGTCAGCTCCGTGTTTCCGAGCAGAGGGTTCGTCGCTCCCCTTCCTGGGACTTGGCGCCTGCGTGTGGTGAAAGCAGTTTGATGACAGGACCCAGCATAGGTGTTCTGTTTGCTTTCCTCCTGCCCCAGGATTTGCTGGGCTGGGACCCTTGGGGGCTCTTGCGTCCCGGGGGGGAGCCTGGGACGGGCTGGCAGGCGCTGTGGTCAGGCTGTGGACAGTGAGGCGTAAACGTCACCTGAGCTCACAGCTCATCTGCACTGTTTCCCGGGTGCAGAAGGGCCCGGTGGCCATGCCCAGAAGGAAAGGGTGCACAGGACGAGCGGGAGGACTGCAGGCCTCGCATAGTCCCGTCCAGGCTGCCGTCTGGGGCTCCCCTGTCTGTCCTTCCCACCTGGGCTGTGACATGAGGACCATGTGGGAGAGGCCAAGAGGGAGCAGCAAGCTGGGTGCTGTCATCTCAGTGCCTGCCTCCCGAGGCCCCTGACAGGAGCAGCCTGTCCTGAAGGCACCTCACGTGTGGAGCGGGGCCGCGGGCCGGCGGCCCTGTGCTGGTCCTTTATACTTTCCTCATGTCCTTTCCAGAATCCATCTACCGCCGTGGAGCCAGAAGATGGAGGAAGCTGTACCGTGCCAACGGCCATCTCTTCCAAGCCAAGCGCTTTAACAGGGTGAGTGCTGCCCCCTTGGGATGTGGGCTCGTCTGCCGAGTGCCGTGTGTCAAGTGCTGTGTGCTGAGTGCTGTGTGCCAGGTGCTGGGTGCCAAGTGCTCCGTGCTAAGTGCTGCTTTAAAAGCAAAGAGCAAGGAGAGGAAGCGAACAGCTGGGCTCTGTTCAGCACACAGCGGAGAGACCATCCGGAGCTGGGTTGTAGACCCGCCTTCTCCCCATCACGAACGAGCCTTTACAAGGCTTCCTGAGCTGTGTGAGTTCTGGTTCAGGTTTTTTCCGGATGGTGCTGGGTGATGAATGCAGCCTGTGTCTGGGTCTCCTCGGCCTCCGGTTATGTAACCCTTGGTCGGGGTGCTGTGGCCCTGTGGTCCCGCCTGCCTGTGCCCAGGGTGGGACTGTGGCTTTGACAGATGACACCAGGATGCATGGTGTGCTGAGCTGCGTTTCCTGTGGCAGGAAGGCCTCCTGTGACCCCGGCAGCCCTGGCCCCACCCACTGTGTCCACCACGTCTCTTCATGATGCCTTTACCTTCTCTGGGAACCAGTGGCTCACATGGCTGTGTGATTGTCCCGTTTCACAGCCAGAGGGGAGGTGCCTGCAGGGGCCTCGCGGCCAGGGACCGTTAGTGCCCTGGGGCTGCTGCAAAAAGCACCACAAACTGGGGGTTTAAATTTATTCTCTAAGAGTCTGGAGCCCAGATGCCCAAACCAAGGTGTGGGCAGGGCCGCTCCCTCTGCCATCTCCAGGGAGGGTCCTTCCTGCCGCTTTCTTACTGCCGGTGTGGCCAGCACTCCTTGGTGCTCCTGGGCCTGTAGCTGCTGCGCCCCGGCCTCTCCCTCTGTCTCCACCTGCCCCGTTTCTCCCTGTGTCTGCTCCCATCGGGACACCAGGTGTGATTAGGGCCATACAGTCCACTCTGGCCCAGTTTTAACTTAACTACACCTGCAAAGATACTCTCTGCAAGTAGGGCCACATTCTGAGGTGCTGGGTGGACATGAACTTGGGGGACACCATTGAACTCAGTACAGTCACACCAGCGTGCTCACCCAGGGGCCTTTGCATGTGCCCTGCCCAGCCTGCCCTCCCGCACGTCCTCGGAGCTCACGCTCACCCCTTCTTCCTGTCTTGGCTCAAACGTCCATCCCTTCAGGATATCAGAGGAGGGGTCCTGGAGCCCCGCACCCCACACTGGCTTTCAGTCCAAGATGAAGCCCACCCAGTGAGGCAGGCCAGGTTTTGGGAGAAAAACTCCTTTCTCTGACTGCAGGGTATAGGCCCTGACACCCCTCCTTCCCCACAATTGGTGGGCAAAGGGCTTTCCTCCCCATGGAGAAGCGGGGACTTGGCAGGGGCACCTGCTCTACTCCCTGTCCCCACCCTGATGAGAGATGAGCTTCTCGAGGCCATTGGCCCAGGAGCAGGTGCGTCCCTGTGAGGCCCTGTGAGCGCTGGCGCAGTGGTCTGCTTGCTTGGCCACAGTCCAAACCACGTGGTGTGGGATTTGACCAGTTTTCTTAAATGAGCTTAGTCCAGGCTACTGGTACAGGTGTGCCCTCTTACTCATCTCCAGGAGTATTTGACTCTTTCAAAAGAAAGAAATTTGTTTAAAATAGTGAAAGAGAACTGAAACGTGTAAATGAGCTATGGCTGGGGGGGATTCTAATTCAGAAACCCAGGTACCTTGGACTCCTGAGGGTGCCACGTGCCTGTGCCACGTGCCTGTGCCACGTGCCTGGAGCTGGCTTTGACCAGGTTCATCCTCACGCACCTTGAAACATTTCACAGTTGGGGTCAGTAAACAAGCTGAGATGACCATCAATTAAGAACAAAGGTGGGCCATTTAAGTAAAAGTGCTGGAAAAAATACCAGGATGGTCGCACATTGCCCCGGGTGGCCATTCAAAATGACAAGTCAGATGCGGGGAGAGTGCGTGTCTCCGTCCTTTGGGTGAGAAATTTGGACAAGGGTCGGGGGCTTCCCCATCTCCTCTCATCCTGGGTCACTACACCCAGGCGGGTCCCCATGGAGCCTGGCTAACCGCCCTCCTTCCTACAAGCACGGGGGGCCCTGCCCGTCACCCTCGCCCGGCAGTCCTCCCTTTGCCCCTCTCACAGAGCAGGGCCCCACGCCCTCCTCGGGGCCACAGGTTCCCCCCACTTTGGGATGGACCTGAGTGGGGGCGTGGTGCCCATGTGTGACTAGGTGACCAGGGCACCTCTTGCCCCAGCGCCATGTAATCTTTTGAGAAAATCAGCGAAGGTGCATCTGACCCAGGGCATTGCCTCGTTCCTCTGTGGAGCGTGGGCTCTGGGAGTGCCCGGGCCCCGCCTAACACCCCCTCTTGTCGTCTGTAGAGAGCGTACTGTGGCCAGTGCAGCGAAAGGATATGGGGCCTCGCGAGGCAGGGCTACAGGTGCATCAACTGCAAACTGCTGGTCCATAAGCGCTGCCACGTGCTCGTCCCCCTGACCTGCAAAAGGCATATGGTGAGTGTGGGCCTGCCACGGACGAGGTGAGGGGACGGCACCTGTGGGAGGCAGAGCGATGGCCCTGGCCAGCCGTCTGGGACAGGACCCCTCTTTCTGAGCCCTGAGAACCCCCAGTGCCCTTGGGGTGCCCAGTGCCCTCTGCCGCTCTGGGCTGGGTATGGGGGAAGCTGTGGCTCATCCTACCCAGTCGTGGGACCTGGGGAGGTGAGAGCCTGTGCTGCTCGGAAAGTCAGAGGGCTCAGCCCCGTGTGCTGTGCGCCCTGACCACCAGCTGGGGATCATGGATGCCAGGTGTCTGGCCCTTCAGGCCGCTGTTGGTAGATTTTTTTCTCACCAAGCATCCAGGTGTCCGCTGGCGCACGTGTGGACACTTGGCTCATCTGCGTCTTGTCGCAGTGGGGGCAGGACAGGCACCTCTGGGGGCTGACGTCTGAGTCTGGCTCTCACCCCGATACCGCTGGAGCACAGGGATGTGGGGTCCCCGCACAGACTAGCTCTAGGGTTCCTGTCACCTGCGACAGCCAAAAACCATAAAGGTGCCCATACCCTGGAACCCCCTAGGTCCATGTTAGCCTCAGAAGTGAGGCCAGCCCCAAGGACGAGTCAGTCATCGAGCTGAGGGACACCCACCCTGGAGCCTAGGCGACCACCAGGAGGGAGCAGCTCCATTGTGACGTCAGTGTGTGGAACCCCGGGAGCTGGGCCATGGGGCTCAGAGCCTGCCTGGATGTGACATGCACACGTGTGGCAGTGGGGGACTGGGGAGGTGACCGAGCACTAGGTAAAAATGCCCGTTTTATAAAGAAAGCATCTGCTGCAAGGGTCACGAAGCGCTGAGCCAGCACCCCTGCCTGTGGAACCACAGGTAACTTCAGTGCAACAAAGTAACAGTTTGCGCGATGTGTACCGTGATATGTGTAACAGTGTATATGTTTTAATAGGTGACTTTAAAGTCTCGCAGCGTCTCCAGAAGCCGTCCTGTGGCCCTGCCCGTCACTCTGTAACGCCCCGTCTCTCCCTCCGCAGGATTCTGTCATGCCTTCCCAAGAACCCGCAGTAGACGACAAGGACGACAGCGTAGACCTTCCTTCTGAGGAGACCGATGGTAGTAAGCGCTGCCTCCTTCCTGCTGGTGGGATCTGGCTCCGCTCGCCCCGGGACGCCTGCTTCCTCCCCTTTCTGACCACGAGTCGTCCTGCCCAGACCCCGCCTGCTCTGCAAGGGTCCATGTCGGCAAGCGTGGCTGCCACCAGTGGGGCCTGGGACATGCTCTCCAGGGCCTCCCCTCGGCCCCAGCAGAGATGGGCAGGGCGGGTGGCCTTCCCTGGGGCCCAGGTCTCCCCGAGTTGCTGCCATGGGAGTCCAGGGCTAGGGGCTCCCCTCTGCGCCTGCGTGGGGTGTTCTACAAGGCACTCCGTGTGGCAGTCACCACGCAGGCCCCTCCCATAAATTGGCTGCTGCAGAGCTGGTCTCTGGGGAGAAAGGCCTGCTGGGCGATTGCTGTGCACGCAGCCTGCTGTTGTGTGGTTCTTGGGGTTTTGCTTTTTTTTTTGGTTTTTGTTGGGATAGACTTTTTTTAATAAGCACTTGGGGAGAGATTTTGAATGCCAGTGTAAGTGATGGCCTGACTCTGAGCTTCCACAGTCTGTGGACTATTACAGGGTGTATGAGAGCCCTGGCCCTGGCTTCATAAACGTGATCCATCCCAAGAGCCCTCGATGAAGTGAGACCAGGGCACATAAAGCTCTGAGCACAGCACCTCACCCAGGAGACTAACAGTTACCTGTCCACTCACCTACCTCCATTACCCGTCCATCATCCACTCGCCCGCCTACCTATCCATCACCCATCCACCATCTACTACCCACCCCCCCCATCCATCTGTCCATCTATCTACTCTAAGAACAAAGACTGGTAGGGTAGACACCGAAATCTTACATGACTAGTTTCCTCTAGATGAGTCCCTGGGGGAACTTGTCACACATGTGGGTTCCCAAGCCCCGTCCTCAGGTGCTCAGAGCCAGCAGGTCTGGGTGGGGCCCAGAAAGCGGCGTTCTGTGGCTGCTGCAGGCGTCTGCCTTGAGGGCCCCCCTTTGTCCTGGTGCCTGGGGACATGCTCCTGACAACACCTGTTACGACGTGTTTTCTCTCTCTCCACAGTTCCTTACATTTCTTCCTCCCGGAAACGTGACAGCATCAAAGATGATTCCGAGGTGAGTGCACAGGGGGACGCATCAGAATTTCTAGTGTCCGTCTCAGTCCGTTGGCTCATTTCTCGGGCAACTGTGGAATTTTAATGTGAACTGGACGCGTTTGGGGATTGTGGCTCCAGTGAAGGCGTGGACTTGTGGGCACCCAGGAGTGCACACCGCAGCGTTTGGGGTGGAAGTCCGTGAAGTCTTTCCTGTGTTTCGCAGAGGTGACCTCTGCGTGGCCAGATGGACTGAGAGCAGGTAAATGTAGCAGAACTTGAACCGTGGCTGAATCTCAGGGTAAGGACGTGGTGCTCAGCGTATAATCCTCACCAAGATGCAGAGCAGGCCACGCTGCCGTTGGCTGTGTCTGTGGGAGCCCAGGTGGCAGGGGAGGCCGAGCTTGACTCGGGACCCCTCTGACCTCGGGGTTCTCTGCTGTCAGGTTTGGATGACGATTGCACCTGTCTGTGAGCATAAACACTTAGCACGCGCCTGGCACACAGGGAGCCTCCACGGCACTGACGTTGGTGTGGCTGTGTCCACGTCAGTACAGGGGGCTCAGGCTGTCACAGTGACCTCCACACAGGGGACCCTGTGCTCAGGCTGGCCCCCGGGGGATGGCTCACTAGCCTTTGCATTGTTTTCTGGGCCCTCTTACAGGGTTGGCATTGTCTGTGGGCCGAGGGACAGCCCAGGTTGTCACCTGTGCTTCTGACCAACCAACTGTAGATTGAAGGTTGCACCCACCTCTCCTTGGGTTAGATGGTTTTGCTAGAGGGGCTCACAGGGCTCAGAGAAACGGTTTACTCACTAGATCACGGATTCATTATAAAAGGACCTAACTCAGGGCCAGCCCAGTGGGAGAGACCACAGGGCGAGGTGTGTGGGATCAGGGAGGAGATTCCACGCCCTCTCTGGGTGTCACTCTGCCTGAATCTGCACCTATTCATCAACCCAGAAGGTCTCAGGGGCCCGTCCTTTTGGGGGTTTTGTGGGGGGCTCATTACACAGACAGGGTTGATTCCACCATTGGCCACAGAGAGAGAGCTCAGTCCCAGCCCCCCTCCCCTCCGTGGAGGTCGGGAGTGGGACTGAATGTTCCAGCCCTCCCATCACGTGGTTGGTTCCCCTGGCAACCAGCCCCCATCCTTAGGTGATTGAGGGGCTTTCCAAAAGTCACCTTATTAGCATAACAAAAGGCCTCCTGGCACTTAGGAAATTCGGAGGGTTTTAGAAGCTGTGTTCCAGGACAGGGAGGGAGACCAAATGCATAGTTCTTTTTATAAATTCATGTCACAGGTGGTCCTTCTGGCCAGGCAGACCCTCTGCTGGCCTTTCCTGCCCTCCCCAGCTTGGGGCCAGAGGTTCAATGTGGCCTCTGTGTGCAGCAGCTCTGGGTGACAAAAGGCATGGTCTCAGTGTCCTTGGTCAGAGTGTACTCGGGAGCAGGGAAACCTCCGCAAAACCTCAGGGAGCAGCCCCACTTTGCCCAGCTTTCCCAGAGTGACCGGCAGATGTCACATCTAGGTTTTTCTGCCTGCTGGTCCTGTGCATGGGTCAGGACCACTTAGTCACCTCCTTCATCCACCACAGATGTCCTGGCCAGAGATGATTTGCAGGAAGGAAGTGACCTGTTTTAAGTCGATTGCCTTCCTCCTTCACTGTGCCTTTCCGGTAACACTGGCTTTGGCAGACACGAGCCAGTGATGGCCCCGGGGAGGGCCAGCAGCGCTGGGGCCCCAGCCCTGATGGCCCTGGGGTGCGTGAACCTGTGGTCAACTCTCTAGCCCATCCTGGTTTGGTTGTCCCCTATCACTCAGAGGGGCCACCAGTGGCTGGGGATGGGGCCACGCGTGGTCTGTGGAAATGAAGAGCTTTTTGGTTTCAAGCTCCTTCTATCAAAAGCTGCAAAGTCCTTTGTTCTTGGCGTTTCTTCCTGGGTGGGGCGGGTGGGTCTTTAGGACATGGAGTCATGACTTGTGAGCAGATCGGGGTCTGAGGTCTGGGGCATGCAGGGTCTTTGTCAGGATTGGCAGGGATGCCACATACTTAGAATCCCACATGTTCCCCCTTTCCGCGTTCTGTTGTCCCCCCTCCCTTAGGACCTCAAGCCAGTCATCGATGGGATGGATGGAATCAAAATTTCTCAGGGGCTGGGGCTGCAGGACTTTGACCTCATCAGGGTCATCGGGCGTGGGAGCTACGCCAAGGTCCTCCTGGTGCGGCTCAAGAAGAATGACCAGATCTATGCCATGAAGGTCGTGAAGAAGGAGCTGGTGCACGATGACGAGGTGAGTCAGCCACGGGGGTGCCATGGGAGGGTGTGCCACCGAGGGAGTGCCACGGGGTGGGTCACACGGGAGTGAGTGCCACAGGGGCACATGGCACAGTTACTGTGTGAATCTTAGTTCTGGCTTCGTGGGCTTTGTTCTTTTCATCAAAGTGAAATACACATACAATTGGCCATTGTAACCATTTTGAAGGGTACACAGCGGTGGCATTTAGCACATTCCCAATGTTGTGCCACCATCACCTCTGTCCAGTGCCAGGATGTTTTCATCCCCCCAAAAGGAGACCTGGCAACCACTGATCTGTTTTCTGTCTCTGGGTTTCTGTTCTGATATTTCATTTACACGGAATCGCACGCTATGGGCCTTTGGTGTCTGGCTTTACTCACTGAGCATCCGGTGTTCAAGGTTCCTCCGCACTATGTAGCCTGTGTCAGAGCTTCTCTCCTTTTCATGGCCAAGTAATATTCTAGTTTGCAGATGGGCCCATTTTGGTTTATCTAGTCATCTGTTGATGGACATTTGGGTTATTTCCACCTTTTGGCTGCTGTGAGTAGAGCTGCTGTGAACACACGTGTATAGGTATTTGTTAGAGCCTCTGTTTTTAGTTCTTTGGGTCTTTACCTGGGAGTAGAACTGCTGGGTTGTAGGGCAAGTCCATGTTTAACTGTCTGAGGAGCCGCCAGCCTGTCTTCCACAGCAGCTGCACCCTCCGCATTCCCGCCAGCCGCATGCGGGGTCCCTGTTCCCAGGTATCCTTTTCAGCACCTGCTGTTTTCTGGGTTTGGATTGGCACCGAGCGGGTGGGTGTGACGTGGGATCTCATTGTGGTCTTGGTTGGGTTACCATAGTGACTAGTGATACTGAGAATCTTTCAAGAGGCTTGTTGGCTTCATGCACTTTTGATCTCCTTTCGCATCCAGATGCAGGCTCTGTGTGTGAGAAGCAGAGGATACTGAGCTCAGAGAACAGGACACTGTTATTGTTAGGCTGTGGCTGGGACACAGGCCCACCCTGACCCAGGTTCATGGTGGGGAGGGAGGGCAGAGCTGGGGCTGGACCTGAGTGGGTACGGGCCCCACTCACAGGAGGCGTTTGGGCCATGCACAGACTGCCCAGCGGCCCTGAGTGCTGAGCTCACATGTGAGTGGTGGTGTCTGGGCCTCACAGTCAAGGAAACTGAGGCCCTGGGAGGTGCGGTGCTGCCAGTGTCCTCACCGCTGGTCAGCTGCACTGCTAGATGGTTCCAGACCCCTTCCCAGCACAGCTGCCAGCTGGAAAATTAATGGGATGGGTGAGGTCGAGTTTGCAGAACCCCGAGGGAAAAGGCATTCGGAGGAGTCACTGCTTTATTCATTCTTGGCCTCTTCCCGTCGTCCGCTGTGGACCAGGATTGGGAGGTGGGGGTTTTAGGTGGTCTCCAGGGAAGAGAGAGACTCTAGGAGTCGGCGAGTGGGAGCTGAGTGTGTGTGTGAGAGACAGTGGTGTCCTGTGGCTGTGAGCCTGGGCAGTGGACATAAGGCTATCAGGGACACTCTAGCAGTGGGCTGGATGGTGGCCTCCAAAGAGCTATGTTCACATCCTGATCCCCGGAACCCGTGGATATAGTCTGGCAGGCAGGAGGCAGTCGCAGTCAGGCGGAAGAACCTGGTGGCTTGATCTCCACCTGGGGCGGGGGGAGAGTCTCGGCAACCAGCAGGGCTTTCTGCCTGAGCATCCGGGTGACCGGCTGCCTTTGGAGAACAGATGGCGGGGCTGGTCAAGAGCTCTGCTGGAGGCCTGCCTTGCAGGGTGAGATGCCGAGTGGAATTATCCAGCAGCCGTTACACAAGCAAGTCTGGAGCTCGGGGACAGGAGGGGCTGGGGGTCCTCTGCATGGACAGATGGGGTTGAAGCCACTCCACCCCGTGGGTCTCTTGGCACAGACGGAGGGAAGAGGAGAGCTTTTCCCCAAGTTCCGGCGTGGATTGGGAGGGGGCAGACCTGTGGGAGGAGTGATGCTCAGGAGGTGGGTGTGGGGCTCTTTGGAATCTGTTAACTCTCCATCTTCTGTTTCCTCATGTTTTAAGTGGGGATGAGACCCACCTCCCAAGGCTTCTGTGGGGAGCACGTAGAGCAGTCATAGCCTGTAGCCCAGAGGCTAGCACACAGCTGGTGACAGTGGTAGAAATGGTGGTAAATGATGATTGTGATAGATGATAGATAGTGATGCTGATGATGGTGGAGATAGTGGTGATGGTGATGCAGGTGATGGTGGTGATGGAGGTGGTGGTAGTGGTGGTGATGGTGATGATGGTGGAGGTGGTGGTAATGGAGATGATGGTGGTGATGGTGGTGGTGATGGAGATGATGGTGATGGAGATGATGGTGGTGATGGAGATGATGGTAGTGGTGGTGATGATGGAGGTGGTGGTGATGGAGATGATGGTGGAGGTGGTGATGATGGAGATGATGGTGATGGTGGTGATGGTGGTGGTGATGGAGATGGTAGTGGTGGTGATGATGGAGGTGGTGGTGATGGAGATGATGGTGGAGGTGGTGATGGAGATGGTGGTGGTGATGGAGGTGGTGGTGATGGTGATAGAGGTGATGATGGTGATGGAGATGGTGGTGGTGATGGAGATGATGGTGGTGATGGAGGTGGTGATGGAGATGATGGTGATGGAGGTGGTGATGGTGGCAGTGATGGTGATAGAGATGGTGGTGATGGAGCTGGTGGTGGTGGTGGGTGATAATGGGTGATGGTAGTGGAGATGGTGATGGTGGTGCTGATATATTTCCAAATGGGTGTCTTCTTTTTTCTCTGCATTGTCTTTCCACAAGCAGAGGTGAGAGACATCTTCCCCTTTACCGGGCTGCCTGTGGAGAGTGTTCAGGAGCCTCCCTGACACCCCCCGGTTTCTGTTTCAGGACATCGACTGGGTGCAGACGGAGAAGCACGTGTTTGAGCAGGCGTCCAGCAACCCCTTCCTGGTCGGCCTGCACTCCTGCTTCCAGACGACCAGCAGGTAAGGAAAGGGGGTCTCTGAGATTCTGCTGATGTCTGACTCAAACTGCATGGAGGCCGAGTTGGCATGAACCCTAGGCATCTCCCAGTGGCAGGTATGGGGGGGATTTGGTTTGTCCACTTAGCTTTGTTCTCATTGGCTGGTGTCAGATTAAGTGAATCTCATACATCTGAACTTAAATTATTTTATTCCATTTACAAAACATTTATTGGAAGCATCCCATAGGTGCAGGCATTGGATCGGGTGTCGGGTGCCCCTGTGATCAGGAGGCGGGTCTGTGCTTGTGGGTCTCATTAATTCGTGGAATAAATCGGTAAATCCTAACAGCTGCACATGTATCGGAATTCTGCTGTTTTGAAAAGGTTGAGAAACTATGGGTCCAGGATGTAAAATAACATGCTCTGATTAGAAATTTCTTGCCCATTGACTTGAACTCACCAGTTTATTTGGAAAATGACTGTGTTCAGGGGGAGGCGGTCCTCACGAGCACCCGGGGTTCAGCGGTTTCCTAGAACTCACGGGGCTCAGCACACAGTTGTGCCCAAGGCTAAGATTCTTTCTGGGCAGTTTTATCTCGGCGCAGGGAACGGCTTACCATTCGAGNGATGGTGGTGGTGATGGAGATGATGGTGATGGAGATGATGGTGGTGATGGAGATGATGGTAGTGGTGGTGATGATGGAGGTGGTGGTGATGGAGATGATGGTGGAGGTGGTGATGATGGAGATGATGGTGATGGTGGTGATGGTGGTGGTGATGGAGATGGTAGTGGTGGTGATGATGGAGGTGGTGGTGATGGAGATGATGGTGGAGGTGGTGATGGAGATGGTGGTGGTGATGGAGGTGGTGGTGATGGTGATAGAGGTGATGATGGTGATGGAGATGGTGGTGGTGATGGAGATGATGGTGGTGGTGATGGAGATGATGGTGATGGAGGTGGTGATGGTGGCAGTGATGGTGATAGAGATGGTGGTGATGGAGCTGGTGGTGGTGGTGGGTGATAATGGGTGATGGTAGTGGAGATGGTGATGGTGGTGCTGATATATTTCCAAATGGGTGTCTTCTTTTTTCTCTGCATTGTCTTTCCACAAGCAGAGGTGAGAGACATCTTCCCCTTTACCGGGCTGCCTGTGGAGAGTGTTCAGGAGCCTCCCTGACACCCCCCGGTTTCTGTTTCAGGACATCGACTGGGTGCAGACGGAGAAGCACGTGTTTGAGCAGGCGTCCAGCAACCCCTTCCTGGTCGGCCTGCACTCCTGCTTCCAGACGACCAGCAGGTAAGGAAAGGGGGTCTCTGAGATTCTGCTGATGTCTGACTCAAACTGCATGGAGGCCGAGTTGGCATGAACCCTAGGCATCTCCCAGTGGCAGGTATGGGGGGGATTTGGTTTGTCCACTTAGCTTTGTTCTCATTGGCTGGTGTCAGATTAAGTGAATCTCATACATCTGAACTTAAATTATTTTATTCCATTTACAAAACATTTATTGGAAGCATCCCATAGGTGCAGGCATTGGATCGGGTGTCGGGTGCCCCTGTGATCAGGAGGCGGGTCTGTGCTTGTGGGTCTCATTAATTCGTGGAATAAATCGGTAAATCCTAACAGCTGCACATGTATCGGAATTCTGCTGTTTTGAAAAGGTTGAGAAACTATGGGTCCAGGATGTAAAATAACATGCTCTGATTAGAAATTTCTTGCCCATTGACTTGAACTCACCAGTTTATTTGGAAAATGACTGTGTTCAGGGGGAGGCGGTCCTCACGAGCACCCGGGGTTCAGCGGTTTCCTAGAACTCACGGGGCTCAGCACACAGTTGTGCCCAAGGCTAAGATTCTTTCTGGGCAGTTTTATCTCGGCGCAGGGAACGGCTTACCATTCGAGGCCCAGACCCCAGCTAAGGGGCCGCCTCGCAGGCAGGCCTGTCATAGTCCTAACTTTTCCTCTGAGTGCTCAGCTGTGCGTCAGACCCGCGGCTCACCCACCTCCTCACCTGCCCTCGACTCTCCCCTGTTCCCACCTGGACTGGCTGCCACCTGTGTGTGCACAGCACCTGGGATTCACTGGCCTTTCCCCAACATATGTGTTGTCACCTCCCCAGGTCTCACCGATTCCACCGCCTGAATGTGCCTCAGGTTCTCCCCTTTCTCTCCGGCCTGAACCCCACCACAGCCTCCTGGGCTGCCAGGTCCCTGGGCCCCCCCAGGCTGCCTGTCCCCCATGTTGGCACTGACCCGTATTTTGAGAACACAAAAGTGTTCTTTCTCCAGCTTCCAAGCTCCTCTGATTACTTTCTGAATTGCTCCTGGGGTGTGATCCAGGGCCGGGGAACAGACCAGGTCGCTGTGACCAGCTCCACCCTGGTCCCTGCTCTGCCCAGCGTGGCCACGCTGCCTGACCATGTGGCCCTGCCCTTTCCTCTCCGCCCTGGAGCTCGCTGGGAGGGTGGCAGCCGGGGCTCCGTGTGTCGCTCTGTGTCCGGACCTCTGTTCAGCCCTGACCACAGTCTCTGGGGTTACGGACCCACAGGGGGTGGGCTGCCAACCCCAACCCCCGTCCCTCCTCACTGGGCTCCAGAATGCATTGGTTTTGGCTTTCGGTGAATTTTACTCTATGAACTGTAAATATGGGTGTAAAGGGGCAAATATTCTAACCTCGCTTCCCTCCCTGCTGTCCAAGCACTTTCTGCTCTGAGGCCAGGGACCCCCTCCGCGTCCCAGTCCCCCGGTGGGTTTAGGCGGAGCTGTAACGACTTCCTCCCGTTAGATGTTTCTGCGGGATCCCCACGACGTGACCACTCCCTGTCCTGCTTTTCCACGCCGGGGGCCACATCCAGGGGTAACTCGTGCACGTGTGGTCTCTCAGTCAGGGGCCTCTAGAAGCGCCTGGAACGTGGGGATCCCGGGCAGGGCATCTTTCTGGGCTGTTTCCATTTCTGTCCGGGCCTTTGTGCCACGTGAGATGTGAGCTCCTAGGGCCGGGCTGTGCTGTGTGGTTTATTAACACCCGGCACCATGTAAGCAGTCCTGGCGTTAATGATTTTTTTTAAGATACAGTCATGTTCCTGGTACAAATGTAAAGTGAGCACCTGTCGGGCTTTCCTGGCTCACTAATTAGTGAGAGGCTAGCGAGACGTCACAACCAGCTCTACGTCGAGTTCCGAATCCCGCACGCGTCGGCTGAGGCAGGTTTGCAGATGGGTGGGGGTGCCCCAGGAGGTGGGAGGGGATTGGGGTCCCTCCACCAGACGGACTGCACTCGATTGGATCGCGTGGCTGGCTTTTGAAGTTAGAAAGTGGCTGCAGACAGTTGAAGACACATAGAAACATTAACCTGGAAGGGTGTGTGCCGGGTGGTGCCCACGTCCCCTGCAGACACCTTTTCCTGGCAGCTGTCCGAGCAGAGGCCCCGGCACCGGCCCCACGTCCAGCCTTTCCTCTTCCTGCCTGTGCAGCCTTGCCCAGGTCACCCCCGGGGCCCCAGCTTCCTCCTCTGGGAACGGGTGGCAGGGGTGCCTGCCTCCTGCTGTGCGGATGCGTGAATTTAGTGGCTGGGCGGGGTGACCTGCCGCTTGGAGGCCCATCTGGTTGTCCAAGTGCTAATGTGATGAGAACCAGCAGCTCCCCTGGTCAGGCACTGGGTGGCTGTTAGTGGCACAGCCACCGGGACACCCACGTGGATTCAGTCACGGAATGTTAGCGAGGCCGTGGGGACTGAGGGTCCCTGCAGGCGTTGGGAGGGCTCCCTTTGTTTGGCATCACTGAGGGTTTGCCGTGGCCGGTGCTGAGCGCCAGGTGACTGTCACTGTGTTGACACAACAGGAAACGGATTAGGCCTGGAGCTGGGCCGGGTGCCCTGCGGCCTCCGGCAGAAATCTGGTAACAAACAGTGACGGTTCCACAAACCCCGGTGATGAGAAGGGGGAGGAGTGTCGCTGGGTGGGGAGAAACGGGCATTTCTGGTCGGCCGTGTTGCGTGGTCATGGGTGACGTGGCGTCTCCGAGTGTCACCGTCTGCATCGGTGGCATCACATATACACAGGTGCTTCCACCAGCACAACTGTGTTTCAAGACAAAGTGATCATCGGTGTCGTGGAAAAACCACATTTCACACCCACATGGCCGGCCCGTCTTCTCCAAACAGCAGCCACCTCAAAATTAACCACAAAATCACCCAAACGGGAAACAGCTTCTGTTTAAGCTGTTTCAGGAAAATGACCCAGAGATTGTAGCTGAAATCACTATTTTTAGCAAAACCCAACACCCTCCCCCCCACTAGACTGCAGTTTGGGGACATTGTCACTGCAGCACCGTCCCAGGCCACAGGTGACAGGCCACCCCTGAGACAGACAGTTGCTGCTGAGCTTCGGCTGTTTAACTTCCACTTTGTCCTTAAAATCGAGGCTCCTGTCACACGCTGTGTTGGGGACACAGCCCAGCACTGCTCTGTGCCCGTCTTTATAAACCCTACTTAGACCCACCGTCCGCCTGGACAGGGAGGGACCTCGTGCCCGTGTCCCGCCTGGGGAGTCGGCGAGGCTGGTGGGTGCCCGGCTTCGAGAAGGAGGCGGCCACCACGTGTAGGTGGGGATGGGCGACGGAGAGGCGCCGGGTGAGCCGGGCGAGGGGCCGGCCTGCTCGACCTCAGCAAACGGGGAGCGGGAGGAGGCGAGAGCGGGACGTGTCACGAGCGTGGAGCAGGCACAGGGCGAAGGGGTCGTGACCTCGGCCGCGCCTCCCCCCCCCAGACCTCCACCAGCAGGTGGCGTCTCCGTGGGAACGTGAGTCACCGCGGCTTCCAAAGGCAGTACGTTCGCTACAGTCATAATTTAAACCCAGAATAGAGCTGACGCTGAGTGACAGGTGGCAGAGTGGGCGGGGACCATCACCCGGCCTTTGTTCTCTTGACGCCCGGTGACGGCTCAGAGGTCCCTGTTTTCCTCGCTTTTCATTGGGATCAGTCACGTAAATCGGAGAACACGCGGCCCCCGCTACTGGGTTCTGGTGCAGGGCCGCTCGGGCTGGCGGACAGCGGCCACGAGGGCGTCACGGAGACACGGCTCTTCCATCGGGGGTGATCGCGACTCGACCAGGGCCCCGGAGAAGTTTCAGGGTTTGTTTTATTTCTGCATCAAGTGCGTAGACTGACGGCCACTGGGAATCATCCTGAAGCTCGGACTGGGAGGGGCCCTCGGGGGCTCGGCCTCGGTCCCGGTCCCCAGAACCTGGGGGCTGCGTCCTTTATCGGGGTCCACACCCAACACTAGGAAACACGATTCGTTGGTTCTTCCTAAGCTGGAGGTGGCCGGCTGCTTGGGGACAGGACGTGTCGGAAGCATGTCACTGGGGGCGGAAGAGCCTGGGGGTTAGCCAGGCAAGGACGTGGTGACCTCGGTGGCTGACGTCCACGGCCCGACTTGGACGACTGCACAGAGATGAGGCCACGGTGCCCCCGCCTCTTCCCCTCCAGCCCGGACGCCCTGCCCAGCTGTGTCCCTCGCGGGACAGCGCCTGGCTCGGGCCAGGCCTGCGGACCAGACGAAGCCCCAGCTGCTTTTGTCACGACCGGACCAGAAACTTTCCTTTTTTGCCAACTATTAAGTAATAGCAGAAACCACCTAAAATAGCTTTTTTTTAAAAAAAACTACACAATTAAAAAAATTTTTTTTACACAATTTAAAATGAATAAAAGTGCCGAGAAGGAAGCCGCTGTGGGGCACACTCCCCGAATTAACCAGTCCTGCCCGCGTCACATCCGTGCTTGTATTTATTTTCCACGTGGGCTTTAGAACCAGCCTGGCTGCAGAAAGAAAGAGAAACTGGCATTTTTATTGGGAGGCGTTATGTCTACAGGTTCCCCAGGGAACAGCACCATGTCCCCGTGACGTCAGGCCCCCCACGAGGCTCGTGGCCACCTTCCCACCCTCCCACCTGTGCGCACCCACTTCGGGGGATTTAATAATATTCTTCATGCGGCATTCCCATCTTCCTTGCTTCGTGTTTGTCCTGAGTGTCTCGTTTCTGGCGAGGTCTTTGTCCCACGTGGGAACGAGCCACATGGTTTCGGTACATTAGCTTTGCCTGTTGCCTCCTGCGTCCTTCCCGCGGTGACCCGCAGGTCGTTTTCTTGGGCTTCAGGTGCACGCTGACAACCCCTGTGATGTTACCCCTCCTCCAGGGGGCGCCCCTGCTTATTTCTCTCTCATCCAAGGGCATCGGTCAGTACCTGCCTCACTCAGGGTGGCTGGTCACGGTGACAAACCTGTTCCCTATGGGGGCTGG